TCAGTTTTTTTTTTTTTTTTTTTTTATATTTTTTTTGGTTTTTTTTTTTTGTTAATGTAGTGTCCTAAAAAAAAAAATTTCGGGGGCAACCCACCCCTTCAACTCCGGGACCTCTCTAGTTTGAAGGACTGGCTCCGCCCCTGATTGTGGTATGATCGTCAATTATGTAATTTTTATCAATTTAGAAGCCACGAGTTGTTGGATTATGAAAATTTAAGGACCTAATATGAAAGTAAATTGAAGTTCAGTAGTCTAGTTAAGAGAAATTAAAGTTTAGCAACCCAGATGAAATATGAAAATTCTAATTGTACATAATTTGTCTTGCCTAAGGGTATCAATCCTCTCACATGGGGTGGACCCACACGAATAAAATTCTTTTTTTAATCATGCTGGGTTCACACCTATGTGAGAGGGTGAACACAAATTATGTACCACTAGCATAAATCAATGAAATATCATTGAAATCTCGAAAACTCCAGATCTCTCAAACTAAAGAAACTTGGGTGGATCGGCATTGAAGAGTAGTAATTTTATTTTTGCAGCGTTGGATGCGTCGCAATTTAGATGGACCGTAAACTCCCTCATTGAGCCATGTTCCTATTCAATTATTGACAGCAGCATTTATTTCACTTCCTTTTCGGATGGTGTTGGCAATTGAGCGGCCACAAACGACTGGTGGTTGAAATTTGTATCAATCTTTGCATAGCCGAGCACTCTCTCATTTACTCTCTCTGTCCTCAATTTTTAACAAACTCACTTTCCTAAATTCTCTCTTTGTCCCTCTCCATCTCTCATCCTCTCTCTATAACAAGGTATGCATTTCCTCAACTGCTCACTTTCTCATTGTCTATACTTTCATTTCATATGTGGGTTTTCCAATTTTGTGATCTGTTCTTCAAATATTCGTGGGTTTTGTTTTTGACAGTTAGTTCTGTTATTCGAAGCTTAATGCGATTGTACTTAGAATAACATCGTCAATTTTCACTGGTAGAGTGTCAGAATTAGTTTGAAAGACGTACTAATTAGCAAAACTTAGGTGAATCGGTGACCATGTTAGCACAATTTGGAAAATATGAAGCCAATTCCTCTGGAAAGTTACTTTTAATTTTTCTTGTTTTAATAGTAAAGAAGGAAAAAAAATAGTTATAAATGAAAATCTTTAGCACCTGTTTTGAATTTCATCAATTTCATTTCTGTTTTTAATATTGTGTAGTGCTGACACTTTGATTTGGGTAGGGTGTTTACAATGAATTTACTGAAGGCTAAAGTGTTTATGTAGTGATTTCAAACTGTGCCAGTGATTATGAAAGTCTGAATGTCAATTATAAATTCAAATCAAGGAAACAAAGTAGCTCAAGTGCGATTGTTATGTTTGATACATTGAATGACGGATGATTTTTTGATAGGAGTAAATACCGGCGAATTGGAAAAGTTGCTGTATGAAATCCCTTTTGAAATTTAATTCTTGTATGGATAAACTTGATGTGCCTTTTGGTTCAATTTGAGAGAATGGTTATAAGATTGTAAATATAATATAGTAGAAAATATACATAGTTATAGGAGATTGCCTCTTTCAGTGCTTTAAGAACAAACTGTATTGATCCGAGAAAAGGAAAAACATATATTGCTGGGTAGACCATTGGTGTTTTCTAAGCAAATGCAAATGAGGAATTATTTGCATCAAATTTTTTCAAAGGTGCATCTGATTATCATTTGCACATAAAATTTGTTACAAGTTGTGATCAAAAGTAGTCCAGTTAACACCAGCATGTTTATTTTTATTAACAGATAGGTACATACTAAAATAGCATTAACAATGCCTGTCACAGCTTCACTCTTAAAGGCGGGTAGCACCACATTTAGCATATAGTCTTTTCTTTTATGTCAGTATTAAATTATGTAGGACCTTGTGCTTGAAATATTATTCTGAATTCGCCTCATACTCTTTTTGTCACTTTTACAATCTCTATTTTGCAGGGAAATTCTAGCCTGGGTAATTTGATAATTTGCTTTCTGTAATAATCCTTTCTCCATCACTTACAAAAGCTACATAGAAGCTAGAGCTTCCATCAAAGATCAGAAATGGCTAAACCAAATGGGTTTATTTATTCATCTGTCAAGTCACCACAGCATCCTAAGTTATATGCTACACAAAGCAATGGACATCTCTCCATGTTGAAAAAGAGGTTATCTAACAATGGATTCTGGCATTTTGGTGGAAAACTAAATACTTTGATTGGATCTCGTGGAGCTACTTTGATATGTTGCTCAACAGAAACACGGAATACGGAAACAGAAGAGTATGTGAGACACTATGATGATGGTTCAAACATATCCAGGTATTGGAGCTCTAATATAAAAGCATGTGATGGATTCCAGTTGATCAAGCACATGACTATATAGATGAAATAATTAAATGGTTAGTAGCATAAATTTAACTGTTGAGTCTCAGATAACTATTCCTATGATTTTTCATATTGATTTTGTTGTTGTCAAATTTCATAGGTTGGATAATGTTAGAATAGTGTTAGTTCGGTACCAGTAAATGAAAGATATGCATTTTCTTTTCACATATGCATGTCCCTTTCCAAATAATTTTGTATTGTATTGTATTGTATTGTAAGTGGACATGGGGCAAAGGACTACATACCTCTTCTAGCTGTTTTCTCATATTCTCTATAATATCAATCAATGTAGTTGGTTTGTGATCATATTTAATTTCATTTCTAGTTGTACCTCCTTCGTCGTTGTAACCATGACATAAATAAACTTATTTAGCTTATGGGTAGAATGTAGATGTCCACTCCTTTTTATCTTGTATGCTTGCTTGAAAGGCACCCAGACATCAAGTGCTTCACCTGTTTGCCACCAAAACATTATTTCTTTTTCCTAAATTTTCACATTGGCCATTTTTAACTTATAGTTGATTTTGAAGCTCATCTTCCTTTTATGCACAGTTCTCAAGCTGGAGATGAGGATCTCATTGAGACAGGAAATAATATTGCATCAAGGCATGGATTAGCTGAAGCGTGTAAATTTGTTTGTGAGGATGCAAAATTTGTGAACGAAAGGGCTAAGAATGACATTGTATTACTCTCCAGGTGAGTTGTATGTGCAATTGAACTCTTTTGTTTTACTTGTATGTGCAATTGAACTCTTTTGTTTTACTTCAAATGACCTCACAAAGGTGGGACGAATATGAATAATGAACTGTCTTGGATTTTATTTCTGTTCCTCTGGAGTCTGGTTTGGATACCTTTACCATTTTTCATTGGAATGTACTGATACGATGTGATAAACAGTTAATATTTAAATGATAACACCTAAAACTTTTGGATCAACTGATTCGATAATTTGTTTAGTTTATAAATGACAATAAGTAGAAAAGTAACCATTCGCGTGGAATACATGCTAATAATTACCATTTCTAATAGGAGCATAATGAGGTTGGATGCTCGTGCACGTCAAGATGTTGCTTTTCTCGGTTCAGAGTTCCTTAAGCTAGATGGTAAAAAAAATGGCTATACTATCTTGTGGCTATACTATCTTGACATATTATTTTATTTCAGAGTTCTTAAACTCCATGATAAAAAAAATTGGATATATACAATCTTGAAATATTAATATATGATATTGAAATATTCTTTGCTATAATTCAAGTCGCCTGACTAGTAGTTGTTGCTGCAACTAAATTATTCAGCATTTTTCTATTAAACATTTGACATAATGGCTAATTTGGTTTGGAATATTAAATTATTGATGTCTCTTGCATTGGAGTGAACCAAATTAGTCCATACAATCAAAACTTGAGTCAAGTTAATTTTTTCGATGCATAATAATATTTGATAGTCTCCAAAGAAAAATATTGTTCACCTAAAAAAAATAAGAAGACCGAAGCAGGAACATAATAATTTGACAACAAACAATTGATGAATGAGAAAGAAATGGGATTCAAGAATAGAACAAGAATTTATCTCATCCTACAAAGTGACATGATGTTGACCTAGACAAACAAAAAATATTATGCAAAATTGACTTTCAATAACTCATAGAAGATCCTTAAAACGCCATATTAGCGTAATATATATGGAGGGGTCACTTAAATTGTGAAAGCCAATTTGAGCCAGTCAAAAATTGACTCGGGATTGATCAGACAATCAGGTCCCACAATTGTATGGTAATTAACATAGAAGGATTATGAATGTCAACATAATTCTTAGATGAGGGATAGTTGTATTAATAAGAGGGAGAAAGCACATGATCATGTGAACAACATAGCGGTTTGGAGTAGGTATAGGTGTAAGAGATGGTATAGAGTTCGTACATGACTTGAAAGGAGTGCCAAGACAAATCAATATTTTTAATTATTCATTATTATTATTGTTATTGTATTTGTTTTTAAATTGAAAATAGAGCAACTAAAAATTAGAAGTTTTTTATTTTTATTTTAAAGAATGCCATTTCTCGTGAACCAAAAAAGGCCCAAGACACGCACTTGGCGTTCAGGATTTGAAGCATTATAGAATAGAAAGCTGTTGAACCTGACCTCTCAAAGTGAAAGGTCTTTTTTATCTCTATAGGTATAGGTGTAAGAGATGGTATAGAGTTCGTACATGACTTGAAAGGAGTGCCAAGACAAATCAATATTTTTAATTATTCATTATTATTATTGTTATTGTATTTGTTTTTAAATTGAAAATAGAGCAACTAAAAATTAGAAGTTTTTTATTTTTATTTTAAAGAATGCCATTTCTCGTGAACCAAAAAAGGCCCAAGACACGCACTTGGAGTGCAGGATTTGAAGGCATTCAGATACAACGGATATTACCTTCGGTACGCCTCCCAAGGTGGCAACCTCTATAGTTTTAATTTAAAATTGACAAGCCAAAATACCGAAATAAAAGCATATTTTCAACGTAAAAGAAATTGGTACCTCACAAGACTCAAAAGAGCTAAAAAATGTCCAAATCATTTCTTGAAGTTAGTACGGCTACGGTGGAAGAGCACCCAAGTGCCGATGGGTTGCTGCTATTGAATTCTCCGAAGCAACTAACTCTATCAACAAGAACAAAACGGATTATATATCCTGAAAATAGTAGCCAATTTTTTTCCTGCTGATGAACAGTAACTATTAATTTTTTATTTTTTTTTTCTTTGAACTAAAACGAAACAGATATTTATTGCTGAAAGATTTTTCTTCGAGCTGACGGCTATTGGGTATTGTTAGAGTTTTTGAGTGGATGATGATGATAGTGATGGATAAGGGGATTTGCGAGTAGCAGTGAGAATGTAACAATTTGACAACGAATAATTAAAGAATGAGAAAGAAAGGGAATTGAAGTAGAGAAGAAGATTTCGGACAAAGAGAAAATTAATTTATTAATGTATTCGAAGGTTACCTATTACAATGAATAAGCCCCATATATAGCAACTAAGCTATACTCAAAAGAATTTCTAATAAACTAGAACTTTATCAAAATATTAAAACTAATATAATCTATTTAAACAAACATAATTTGAATTAAACTCTAATTTTGGATTCATATCTAAACTCTATTTCTATCTCCATCAAAGACTAAGCAAGAAAAACCGTAAAAATTTGTTAGTAGGTGGCTGAGAGGGGACAAGATTAAACAAAATGATTTTACATGATTATGATTCCTCATCTAGATTATTAAATTCTTCTTTCGTAGCACGAGCTAGAGAAGGCACCGAGAAAATTGACCATGATGTGAAGAGAAGAGCTGAAAGGCTTCATCATGTTGCCACTGTAAGTATTTGGCTTATGAGAATTGTTACTAAAAACCGGAAAAGTGATATGGAAATGATCTTGTCATGATTTTTTTCTAATTAATCTTTGTTTCTTGTCAGATTCTGAAAAACAAAGCTCAATCTAGATTGAAATATGCTGCTGATAATCACTGGAGCGATGGTGCCTTAGAGGTGCCTTTATGTGATTGCTACGATCTTCATGCATAACTTTTACTATATTAATAGCATGTTTTCTTATCTGTCTAGTCCAAAATTTAAATTAGACAGTTTCTTCCTTTCGTTGTTGTAATTCCACATGTTTCTATATATTGTGCCCATTCCTTCTCTCCTTTTCTGCATTGAATTAATGAAGTAATAAGAATGTCTTTCAAAAACTCTTCCAAGTTTTCTAGACATGTTTTGATAGAGCTGATTTCGCTCTCTTCTAAGCTTCCCATGATTTTCACTTGATTAATGTTTTATGTGCATGACTTAAGACCAACCTCTCTTGCTCATTTTCAGGCTGATTTGAGACGGGCAGATTTTGCCGCCAAGCAACGTGCAATGGAAGATGCCTTCATGGCTTTGGAGGTATTATCATCAGACAACACTGCTATATTTGTATCAGGCAGTAGAAGCAAAATTCTTCTCTATTTCTTTTAGCTGCGCCCACTTTTCCTAATGACCTAGAGAGTTCATATTTCTGTTTTCTGGATTTGCAGTTTGTCAAAAACATACATGATAGGATGGTGAGAAAGATGTGCAGATTGTAAGTTTTCACAATACTATATTTTCCCAGTCATAAAGTAAATTTAGCCTTTAAGTTCTTACTGGTATACGGTTCTTCATACAGGAAGAACAGTTCTGTAAATTCTAGTGAGACAACAGGACGTATAACACTGGAAAAGAATGGGAAAACCCTTGACTTCATAGAGGTGTCTGCTGATCGTATTAATGCCATGCAGGTTTGTCACTTAACACTTACTGAAGTTACAACGTATATTCGCGATTAAATATCTTCATTATGATACCATCTATATCGGATTAATACAGGAAGCTTATTGGGGCATGGCTTCTGCACTTTCAGAAGCTGATGGAATTGATTATACAGATCCTGAAGAGGTCCAAGTCGAATGAGTGCATACTTCAAGTTTTCTCGTTTAAGCTGCTTTGCTTCTTCAAATACTTACTATGTTCTGTTTGGAACAGCTGGAGTTGTTGGTTGCGACTCTTATTGATCTTGATGCAATGGATGGTAAAAGCAGTGTATCTCTATTGGCGGAGTGTTCAAGTTCTCCTAATGTCAATACCAGGTAAGTACTACTCTTCACACAATTTTTCTGTTGGCTGGCCTATTTATTTCTAACTGTATGGGAGCTGTCACCTAAGAACATCATGGAGCTCAATTGCACTGCACATTATTGAACGTATGGACCTAATTAGATGTATTTTCGGTCAGGGATATATTAGACATTCTATACATGTATTACCATATTAAGCCGTCATAGTATCTTTCTATAAATATAAAGGATTTTTATTTTTATTTTTTTGGGAGGGAGGGCATTTTTAATCACCATTCTATCATCTTTCTTCTTTGTGGTGAAAAATTCTGCTGAAGCGAGTAGACGCCCCTGTTTGGCCCCATTAAATTATAATTCATTTTTGTTCTCTTCTTATCAACTACACAATCTCCAATAAAACAATATTACATGTAAACTCAAAATTTTTGTTTTTTTTTTTTTAACCATACATTCTTCAAAAAATTACTATTACAAAAATTATATTGGGTGTTTGACACTCATTTTAGTAGAAAAATAAGTTTTAGGACAGTGATTGATAGAAGAATGTGTGGTTAAAAAGAAAGGAAAATTTTTAGGTTTATGTGTAATATTATTTTATTGATAGAATGTGTGGTTGAAATGAAGAAAGAGAAAAAGAATGAGAATGAGAATGAGAAAAAAATGGGTGCCAAACAGGGGATGTGTGAACTCAAAACTTTTCATTCTTTTTATGCGGGGAATCGAACTCTGCACACTACCGCGCTGAGCCCTAACCGCCCTCCCCTTTGCCACTGGGAGATATGCCCTGGGGGCTATGTGTAATATTATTTTATTGATAGAATGTGTGGTTGAAATGAAGATGGAGAAAAATAATGAGAATGAGAATGAGAAAAAAATAGGAGCCAAACGGGGCATAATTTCAAATAATGGGGGCCAAACGGGGAGCAGCCTCATGTTGAGAGAAACACTATAAATTTATGGGTTTGTTGGCACATGTTTTTCATTTTGTCTTACTCTCTGATTGAGATTATGGCTTCAACCTACATCACTATGGCGATTAAAATATCTAATTTTGCTTATATTTTCATTCAATGAATCTCCGGTTTGCAGGAGAGCATTAGCTAACGCGTTATCAGTTGCGCCATCCATGTGGACTCTAGGAAATGCTGGGATGGGAGCTTTGCAGGTAGGGAGATTTTCCCAAATCCCTTTCGTCCTGGTCCTTTTTTTTTTTTTTTCCCGTCCTCCAAACCGTCATAATATTAGAACTGCAAACTACGTTGCAGAGACTGGCAGAAGATAGCAACCCCGCAATTGCTGCTGCTGCATCAAAAACTCTCCGTGAATTGAAGAAACAATGGGAAATTGAAGAAGGAGATAGCTGGAGATTCATGATGAACCGAAGTCTGCTGGAAGAAGAAAATGATGATACAGAAACCAGCTAAAAATTCATATTCATGGTGTGGATATTTGAAAGGGCAGAAATGAATGATTATTAGGTTAATCACTAATCAATGAAAATAGTTATGTACTATTAATATGACAGTTGAAAACCTTTTTTTTATTTTTCCTTTTTTGATCATTTATAAGGAAAACTCACCATTTCTCTTTTATTCCTACAGCTTTCTATTTTTAATTCTATTTAGTAATTAAAAAAAATATTATTAATTGAGCATGTTCTGTTAAGCTTAAAAGCATGGAAAAAAAAAAAGTACACTTCTATTTCAAAACGCCTTCCGATATGTTTCTTTTTTTCTAATTTTAAGTTAAAAAAAAGGAATTACTTTTACACTTGGTATCAGAAACACCTGTGAGCTTTATGGCGGTATCGAATACATCCTTCATGTACAAAAAATTACATTAACTTCTCGTATGTCTAATTTTGAGTATCATATTCACCCCTTGACTACTCTTTGAGGTTGATCTCATTTAAAATGAGGTTGATATACTCAAATTGTTCGAGTGAAAAGAAGATAAATTTTTCAACTGATTGTAAGTTCATTTGTTCCCTTCAAAATGAGTCTAAGACTTTGTGGATGCACAATTCTTTGAATATGAATATTAGTGTAACTTTTGACTTAAAATTTGTTGAAGAACTTTCTTCATATCTTTCACAACTATGAAATTCAAGATCGTATTCTACAAATTAATTTGAGTTTTAAAATTAAATTTATTGGAAGAATTTGTTGAGTTTCAAACGTATTAAAGAAAATAAAATTTAGTACAAAAATTTATGATAAGAAATATATACTCTCGAAACTCAACTTCTATAATTCAATTTTTTTTTATGATAATGAAATACTTCAAATGGGCAATCTTTTTATACTACATTTAGTACATAAGAATTAATTGTTAATACATGAATTTAAATGCTCATTAAAATTTCTATATATATGAATATAAATAAATCCATCTATAATAATTCTAGATTAATGTAAATGTTAATTAATCGAAAATTAATAACACGAAATTAATATATGACAATGATTTTATAGTATTTATGACATATTAAAAAATGAAAAGTAAAATATTATTGAAATAAATGAATTGTAGCTAAGTTAAAATTGTCCAAAAAATGATTCTCAATTGATGTGATATTTTATATATTATAGATTAATTGCAAATGAAATAAATAAATAAATAAATACCTCAACACAAGGTCAAAATCATTAAATGGATAAAGTCTAGAATCATTTGATAAAGAGGGAAAAAAAAATTGAACTTTAAGAATATGCCAATCAGTTAATTAACTTTTGTTTTTTATTTATCTCAATTAAATTAATGAATTTAAATCTTAATTTCAAATGTAAGCCATGTTTGGTACACATTATTTTTTTCATTCTCATTCTTCTACTCATTTTCAATCACACATTTTTCAATAAAATAACATTTTCCATCACATCAATAATTTTTCCTTTATTTTTAACTACACATTCTCCATCAATCTATTATTTAATAATACATTCTTTCAAAAAATGTGTCCCACACATTCAATTTTACATTCCTTAATACGAAGTTAAAGTTGGTGGGAAATTAGGTAAAAGGAATCTCTCAACCTACTTTGCATCATTCATGACGAAATTTCTTCGCCTCTCCCATTTTGTCTTTTATGGAGAAGAGGTTGAAATTTTATCAAGAATCGTGACCTCAACTACCTCACCCACCCGTCAATGGTTAGAATTTGATCCTCAAAAACAATTCTTGGGTTTTGTCGTGTTTTAGATTTCACTCATGTGGCTGTGACCGCCCCTAAATATTGAATCATCTGTGTATTTATGCACTGTATTTTGTTTTGGAAACTGTGTTACGCACACAGCACTGAATCTTCAACTGAAACAAAAACAGCCCACTTTCCAACTCCAAGATTTTTGACAACTAATCCCATATTCGAGATTTTAATGTGCTTAAAATGGAAAGTTATTAATACATATTTGGCATCTTTGTCTCTTATCGCAAATATCTTTTGCATCAGGGTATGAAGTGTGGGTGAGTGTGTGCGCAAAATTGTAAATGTATTAAGTTATTGATGGTGTTTTTGTGTGGTGTTAATCTCAGATTGCATTGACTGGCATTTTAGCTTAAGAGGTTTGATTTGTTTGCTTGTCCATTCTCTGAGATATTCTTCTGGGATTGAAGGAAATCAGAGGTAAGTTTCTAGTTTTTTTTATTTATGGTTTTTGTCGAAATGAATGATTTACTGTTTCTTGTTCTTGTGTTTGTACATCAATGGTGGGAATATAAATCTATATGTATTTGTATACCTGTTGAAGAGAAAATCAGTGTATGAAAAATGGCTTCTCAACGACTCTAGCATGGAAGTGGTTCCCGATGTTGGAATTGTTATCTTATGGAAGCAGAAATTCAGATCTTAATCTGGATCAATTCATTGTTTATTGAACAATTATAGGAGAGAATGATTGTTACATCATCTGCTCATTGTCGAGGGAGCTTCAAAGCAAAGGCTATTAAAACCAATCTTTGCTAGAATTAATGTATAGAGACCGAGAAGGAGATGAGGTCAGGCCATTGTTAATTTGTACCAAAACAAACGTGAAAGGAGCCTGTTTACTCACTCCACTCCTTCTCGTTGCTAGAAGCCTCACCCTCTTTTGCCATTCCTTTAACCTTTTTGGTATTGATAATCTATATCACGCGTTTGGTTTCATCATTTTATCTTCATTTCATATTCGATTTTTGATATATTTGTTTGAACTTGTTTACTGTTTCTTAGATTTCCATTTTCTTTTCTCTAGCTTTTTTCAACATCCAAATAATCCTACCTCCTTATGTTTCGGGGTTATTTGGTTTGATACATGATAATATATTTAGGACAAGAGTTATCATTTCCTTTAGATGACATTAATTGCATATTTGCATTGTTGGATGGAACTTGCTTGCACATGTGTGACAAGCAAAGATTATACTCTCAAATAGGTTGAGTTCCTCAATGTATATCTTTATCATCTATAGAGTCTTCTCTTCCCCTTGCATTGTCCCGTTTATAAATTTAAACTAATGACTAATTTGTTCACATTTTAAAGTCTGTAAGAGTCAGCTCAGCTTCAGAATGCTTGTAAAGATTAAAAGCTGCTCTCGAAAGTGTACATTTGAATTCTTTTCATTGATGAAATGTATTGCATGCTAGATGAATCTTGATATGCTGTTTGGCTGCTCTGGCATGGCATTGCCTGATGATGAATTTAATACATTATGTTTAGTATCTCCGATGATAAGGGAGACAGTTTAGCTTTTCCTACACTAAGAGCATCTTCAAGAGACTTCCTAAGTACAAAATGCTCTTTATTTTAAAGAGCTAAACTTTATTACAATGATTGCATTTAATAAGTCACATATTTCAATACTTAAATTTTTGAAGTATTCAAACAAAATTAATTTCAATTTGTCATTTACATATAAAAAATTGTGTTAAAGGAAATTATAGGAGAAATCAATAAATGTTTCTTGAGAAACGCAAAATGAAGAATTAAAATAGAGAGCATTATTGGAGTGCATAAAAATTTTAAATATCTAAATTTAAAGATGCTCTCTATAACGCATAAAATATTATTTATAAATAAAGTGTCTCTTGAAAATGCTTTAAAGCTGTATATCGTTACATTTTAGTAACCTGCATGGTTCACCATTACACCATAAATAAGTTGGTGCTTGGTGAGAAGACACTTGATTTTCTTAGGACTTTGTGAGTTTACTATGTTAAAATCTAGACAAAAGCACAATTATTAAATACTTATTTGAACATTGAGGGGTTGCTCAATTAGTCAGATCTTGAGTTTGCTCCTCTGTGGTCACCAATTTGAGTCCTCTTAGAGCCACTGAGGTGAATATCAGACCATAAATTTCAGAGTCTTATGGGATTAGTCGAAATTCGCGTAAGCTGGCCTGGACATTCACGATTATCAAAAAAAATTAAATACTTATTTGAACTGCCGTTCTGAATTATTAAAATTGATTTTCTGTCTTTGTTGTGTTTTCTATTGATCGAACTGCCTTCCATTTTTGCATTTTTTCCGTGCACTCTATTGAAATTGATTGTCTGTCTTTGATGTGTTTTCTATTGATTGAGTGATACTTGTTTCACTTTATCTTGGCAATGTGTTCATATCTAGTTTCTACATTAATCTTTAATTTTGGTTATATTATTGCAAAGAACATTTGGCATGGACTCAAATATTCCAGTGTTTTGTCCCCTTAATTTTCATGACATGTTTTATTTTCAGTCTGTCACAATATTAAGATCTTGTGCATTACGCTATATCTCCTCTATCTAGATTTTGTATTAAAAATATTAGGATTTTGAGGATTAATCCTACTTTCTCCACTTAGGGTCGATTTTTTTCCCTCTTTGCCGTTTGCCTCTCCTACAATTAGTTAAAGGGTCCTTAAATCAAGTCAAATGTCTGAGTATGATAAGTAGTTTTCGAAGTTTTGTCAGGGCAATGCTGACCATCAGTTTTATTTGGATCTGCCCAAGACAGTAATTCCCCAGTGTCTTACTTTCTTACAATAAAATTTTGCAGATGGGTGATGTAGCTAAAGATCTAACTGCTGGGACCGTTGGAGGAGCAGCACAGTTGATATGTGGGCATCCTTTTGATACCATCAAGGTCAAACTCCAAAGCCAGCCTGTTCCACTTCCCGGCCAGCCTCCCAAATACTCGGGTGCTATTGATGCTGTGAAACAAACAATAGCTGCAGAAGGCCCCAGGGGTTTGTACAAAGGCATGGGGGCCCCACTTGCCACTGTAGCAGCATTCAATGCAGTGCTCTTCACAGTTCGGGGTCAAATGGAGGCCTTATTGAGGTCTGAACCCGGTGCCCCTCTTACAGTGAATCAGCAGGTAGTTTGCGGCGCTGGAGCTGGGGTTGCTGTGTCTTTTCTGGCCTGTCCTACTGAACTGATAAAATGCAGGTCAGTTGTTGCCGAATTCTTTGTCTAGAGCATAATGAGATTAAGATAATTTCTAAATTTACTCTTCTTTACCTAGTGCATTGCATCAGATGCTTTTTTGAATTGATAAAGGGACATTGCACCCGAACCATGGACTAGGTTCAAAATCGTGTAGGCGCCAATATGTTGCTCACATGGCAATGTATTTTTGCTCTATTTTCTTGTGCATATGGATATATCTGAATTTTTGAGATGATTTCAGTATTGAACTGTTTAAATTTAAACTTATTATATGAATGCAGATTGCAAGCCCAGAGTGCATTGGCAACTACTGATTCAGCTGCCGTTGCTGTTAAGTACGGTGGACCAATGGACGTGGCAAGGCACGTTCTTCAAACAGGAGGTGCACGAGGTTTGTTCAAGGGGTTGGTTCCCACTCTCGCACGTGAAGTTCCTGGAAATGCTGCTATGTTCGGCGTATATGAAGCCCTTAAAAGCTATTTTGCTGGAGGACGGGACACTTCTGAATTGGGACGAGGTTCACTAATGTTAGCCGGAGGATTGGCTGGAGCTGCGTTCTGGATGTCTGTTTACCCGACTGATGTGGTCAAGAGTGTAATTCAGGTTGACGATTACAATAATCCTAAGTTCTCAGGTTCTATTGATGCATTTAGGAAGATCTTGGCATCGGAAGGAGCGAAAGGTCTTTACAAGGGTTTCGGTCCTGCAATGGCCCGAAGCATTCCAGCAAATGCAGCATGCTTCTTGGCGTATGAAGTAACGAGATCTAGTTTAGGATGATTATTGATTTGGACATTACCAATTAAAAATTAATTATTTGGGCATTTGTTAAAGATTGTAGTTGAAAATGCAGATCTCTCAGATTCTAATGCTCTAAAAGAAATTACATTATCTTGGAATTATTTCAGATTTCTTACTGTGAGATTGGCAAGTGCATTGTGTTGTTGCTATGTGCTAATCAAGATATTGGCACGAGCTGTGTGACAATTCAAATAGAGCAGTAGAGTTTATGAAAATGAGTCGAACAGGTTGAGTGGTCTAGCCCTTAAAAATAGGCTAAGTATGGGCTTGAGCTGATGGTCGGCCATACAGGGCCTCCACTTCCAGGCCTGCCAACCCAATGGGCTGGCACGCAGGGCCACCATATTTTATTTAGAAGTGGAAATTACAAAAAACCAGTTGTTTAAACTTCCTAATTCAAAATTCAGGTACAAGTTTTATCTAATCAAAAATCAAGTATGAATTAAATATTTAAATAATATTATAATACTAATATTTCAAACCCTAATTCATTTTCAATCCATATTTTTTCTCACTATCTCTCACCCTCTCCTCTTCCTCCATAATCGACCGTCCCTCCCTCCCTCCCCTCGCTACTGTCTAGCAGTGAAATCGCTGCTGGGACATTTTCCCAGCAGCGCGAAATTGCTGCTGGTTTTCCTAGCAGTGAACCAGCAGCGATTTGGCTGCTGCCCAGGTTTCCCAACAGCGAACCAGCAGCGATTTCGCCATCCATTTTGCGCTGGCGTGGCGGGTCGAGGGTGGATCTGCAGTTTTGAGCGATGGTGGTGGATGTGGTTTTTGAGGTTTTTTTGTTCTCAATGGTGTAGGTGAATATGGAGATGTGGTGAGTGTGTGTTGTTGCCTGTGGTATTGCTCGAAGATGTTTAGAGTGACGGGTAGTTTTCAGTAATGGCGGACGGTTTTCAGTAGTGGCGGACTGGAGGTGTGTGGTAGTGTTGTGTCAGGGTGTGTTGGTGGTGGTGGTGTTGACTGTTGATGCTGGTTGTAGTGGTAAATGCGGAGATGTTCCGATTGCAGACACCATCGCAGCTTTGCCAGCGAGAACCGTCGTAGTGTTGGTGACGGTGGTGTGGTATGTGACCTCTATTTGGTGTATGTGACCAATTACTTGGTTATGTAACCAAGTATTCGAGGGTATGTGACCAAATATTTGGTAATCTGTGACTGATTACTCAACTGTGACCTAAAAATNAGTTTGACATACCTTTGTTAATTCAAAAGTGTTTGGGCGGGAAAGTGTGTTTTATTTTTAAACTGGTCAATCATGCTGCGACACGTGGAAAAGTGTAAAACTTGATGTCAAATTCCATGTACTTGTAGCATGATTCAACTAATGACTTCTTAGGATCTATAACACGGGGAGTAGACATTTTATTTTATCATGTTTTTATGTTTTAAATTGCATTTAAGAAAATAAATATAAAATATTAAAGGGAAAAACTCATAATTAAGAGATTTAGTTTCACCCATTTCAAATTTAAAAATTTAAGTTTAAAATTTCAAATTTCAGATATTTTTAAATTTTATTTAGAACTTAATTAATTAAACCTATATTTTATTAATTAAATATATTAAGGTCACAATTTCATATAATTTGATCACAAATTATAAATTAATTGATCACAAATTATTTTTTGATCACAATAAAATTTTTTATAGGTCATAAATTCTTTCACAATCACAAATAGAAAATTTTTTAGGTCACAATTTTTTCATTGATTACAAATTTATAAAATTAATAAGTTACACAATATTCATTAGTCATAAATTACAAATTTTATATATCACAAATTATTTTAACGTCATAATTCAAAAAATTTATAGGTCACAATTTGTTCATCGATCATAAATCAAAAATTGAAACATCACAATTTATTTATAGGTCGCAAATCACAAATATTATAAATCACAATTTATTAGACAATCACAAATTATCGATCACAAATTAACAATTTTTTAGGTCACACACTATTTTTTTGGTTACAATTTATCTTTTTCATTGGTCGAATATTGTTTATCGATCAAATTTAATGGTGACAAACAACCAAATATTTTGTAACCACCACCCCACCACTCCCATCAACACCGCCACCGTCACCGCTAGAACCCCCACCTCTCGACAGCAACTCCATCTCAAACAAATTAACACATCGCATAAACATACCACCACCTTCCAACAATCTGTCGCACCACTATACAACGCCGAGCCACCACCACACCGCCACACCACCGCACATAGCACACTGCACCTACAACACACACCATTGCACCACTAACGCACACAACCACCATACACAGCACTGCACCCAACCACAACACCGTACACGACATCGTACCCACAACACACATAACCATAACCGTACCCACAACACCACAATTGCAAACCAAAGATCTGCAGCTCCGACCCTCAAATCAACAGCACGAATTAGGCTTAGCCTCCCTATCCACAAACTTCCCTACCTGCCGACTCAAAACTATGATCGACAACATCAATTCGCACATCCAATCGAAACATCCAACATCTTGACCGCCACACCACCGACAACACAAACACCAAACCCACCGCCATCGTTCATTGCCAAAAGAAGAAGCCACTGTGGTGCCGCGTCGCTAGACAATCTGCACAACAGTGACGATCTGGCGCTGCACACAACGACACACAGTTCGCCACCAGATGCCACTTCCGTCGATGAAGATGAAGAGAGAGTGGGAAGAGAGGAGACGATGATCAGAGAGAAGGACGAAGAAATTGGTTTGGGATGAAATTGATTAGGTTTTGGGATGAAATATCTAATTTTTAAAAAGTGAAACCTTATGCCTGAAATTTGAAATTGAATTTTAAAAATTCTGATTGTGTAATTTCCACTTCAGTAAGTGCTACACATTATTTTGTACTGGAAATTACACTCATACCTACATTTCAATTTTCAATTTCAAAAATCAAATTATAACTTTTTTTTTTATTTTTCAAAAGTCGAGTTATAATTATTTTTAATTTAAAACCTAAATAATGTAATAATTAATTCCTAAACCCTAATAATCTAATAAATCAATCATTACCCACACTCCCACCATATCCACAGCAGCCCTATTGCCCTAATAGTCCACCAACTACAACACACGGCGCCACCATACCTGCAGTCGCGCTGCGCCACACAGAAGCTGCGATGATCGTACGCGCTCATCAACGCTGTGTGCAACTCCGCGCGGCGGTGATTCAGGTAGATCTTGTGGTGCTGTGAATATAGAAAAAAATGTTGGCTCAAGTGTGGATTCATCTAGTGGCAAGAGGAAGACTTGTGGTGGCGATGACACTATAAGCGGTGCTACACCGCTGCGCAGTGGTGATCTGTGTGTTTGTAACAAAAAATGGGTATGAAATCTGTAGTGGTGCGGCAGTGATCTGTGCGTACGGTGGTGTGTGTGGCGATGCTTCTGGTTCTAGTGTAGTGGGTGATAAAGGCGGTAGTGGTGTTGGGATGATGGTGGTGCATCACTAGTTTGTGCGATGATGGTGCGGTGCGGTGCGGTAGTGGTGCAGATGTTGTTGATTGGCGGTTGTGGTTGTGGTGGTGGTGGTGAGATGGAGCCGGCTGTGGGTTGGGAGATAGGAGTGGAAATTTGTGATTAGTTAATTGGGTAATATTGACCAATTAATTGTAATTTGTCACCAATTAATAAGTGGTGACCAATTAATTTTTGAATTTATGATCGAGAAAGAAGTTGTAATCAATTAATTTGATAATTTGTAATCGATAAATAAGTTGTAACAAATTAATTTGATAATTTGTGATCGAAAAATAAGTTGTAATTTATAAAATTTGTGATTTGTGATCAAGAAATAATATGTGATCTATTAATTTGATAATTTGTGATAGCAAAGTAATTTATAGCATACTAAATTGATAATTTGTGATCGATAAATAAATTGTGACATGTAAAATTCGTGATTTGTGATCAAGAAATAATGTGTGGTCGATTAATTTGATAATTAAATAAATAATATGTGACTTATGAAATTTGTGATTTGTAATTGTGACATTTTCTGATTGTGATCATAAATTGTATATTACTTTGATCTTAATATATTTAATTAATAAAATATATAATTATGACGATTTTTTAAGTTTTAAAACATGTTTGTTAATTTTGAAATTGTGACGATTTTTTAAGTTGTAACATTCTAGGAATGTGCAATCTTTCCAGAAGAGTGGCACTGAAGTGGCCAAGAAGGACAAAGTGCACTATCCAACCCCAATTTGTTTTTGTTTTCGATTGAGGCATGAAATATTCGTCGGCTACGTTTGAGAGATTCTTTGGGTTTCTTTCATCATCTTCTTTAAATGTTAATACATGAGCAGAAAATGTTAGTTCAAAAATGTCTCCACACAACATCCGTAATTTGTAGGATTCGATGTTTCAGTTGTCTAAACAGCATATGCATAAATAGGATTTCATTAGTGTAAACTAACTAAAGTTCATCTTGACAGCATAGATACCCCTAACAACTCAACAAGGCCAAGTAGTAGATAGTCGTTTTCAAGATTATCAAATCATTTTATTTTTAGTTTAATTTTTAATTTATTTTAGGGATAATATGCAAACCATTTTGTCCTTTTTAATTTGGTTAAAATTAATCAAATTTTGACTTCTTTTTTTTTTTTTNTTTTGTCCTTTTTAATTTGGTTAAAATTAATCAAATTTTGACCTTTTTTTTTTTTTTTGTCAACTAACGGACTAGTGAATGGAGTCATTCTCACCAAACTCCAAATCAATATTATTGTCTTAGCCGTCTTTCTCGACTTAAAAGTCGTATATGACAAGCACCCAATCATCCGCCTACTTTTGCCGTAAATGATTCCTTCGCTTTGAAATGACCTACAATTTTTGAAATTTAACGTAAATTGAAAATTTCAGATTTTCAATCATGTGTGATACCATTTGCAATCCTACAAGATTTGCTAATTTTCCAAATGCTTTGTATCATTTTATAATTTTTGGATCATAGAATCCTCGATCTGAATTCCTATTTTAAGTTTTAACAATCTTGATTTTCATTACAAATTTTTTGATTTATGGAAAATAAATCAGTAAGATAACACCCATTAGCACGTTTTCGAAATGACTTAACTCCAAAATTTCGTTGCAACAAACTTAACCCCAAAATTTCTCCACCTAAAAATATAAATCCGATTGCAACGAAAAATCCAAACTCTTCAACAAGAACCAAACTTTCTCAAAAAAAAAAAAAAAAAAAACTTTCTCCAATATAAAAATATTTATCTTCCACAATATCCAACATGAATACATAAACTCAAACACTAGGTTCTCCAAAATTCACAAAGAATTAGAAATTACCAAATAGTGTCGAAATACACCATGTAGCAGAATCAACTCCAAATGTTTTCATAGAAGACCCCTAACTAGTCTCAATACCTTCAAAAACACTAAAAACATGTGCAATCGAATCAGCATCCACGTACCAATTTCCAATGGGTATATCCCTAACAATCGAATACGATGAAACCACATGTAATGGTGGCAAAGAGGAATTACCCATATCCTCAAAACTCGACTGAGTATTATTATTCAATATGGATCTCAAACTAAATCCTAAAGGTACAGTACTAAACTGAATCTCTACCACGGTACTAAATCTGTGTTGACTTTCTTCACAAATTTTGTCTGACTTTTCAAGATGTATAACTGGACCTCTTTTGCCCCTTCAATACAATATGAACACTCTTTCGAACCCCCAAGACTCCACCTCCTCCAGAGTGTATGTACCATTTAGAATTAAAAGTACTCAACAAAATGAAATTTTTCTTCAAGTCTAGAATATGTCGAAAGTGATCAAGTGTTCTACAAGTTCCATCCGTTAGTTTCAATCTGACTCTACAAATATCGGGTACACGACAAGGTTCGTTGTTACCCATGACAACGACACATTGCGTCGAAATTTCATACGTTTCAAACAAATCCCTATTGGAACACATATGGAAGCACAAGCTGAATCCAAAATCCACTCATCATCAAGTTTGGATTCCATGTCAGAAATCATCAAAGCATCTCCATCACTTTACATAGTTCTCGACTATGTTGGTCTTTTCTGAAGTATTTAATTACTTCCCATCATTTTTAGTCAAATTACCTTTATTCTACAATTTGTCGCAATTCCTCTTAATATGTTATTTCTTCTTGCAATATTAACAAATATGATTATTGAAATTTGACATCGACTTATCCTTGCTCTGATCACCATAAATAACAAGGCCTTCTCAATCTCTAGTCTCAGATCCAATCAAATGCTTCATCTTCTCTTTTGAAAATAAGACATCATACGTATCTTCAATGGTGAAAGTATTACAACTATACAAAATCTTTTTCAATGATGAGAGTATAACGACTATACAAAATGCTTCATCTTCTCTTTTGAAAATAAGGCATCATATGTATCTTCAATCGTGTCTCTAAACGAAGTGGGCAGTGAACGGAAAAGGATTAAGACCAAATCTTTTTCATCATACTTTATCTCTAAAATCTCCAAATCAGCGACGATCTCCTTGAACACAGCCAGATGATCTTTTAAAGATTCGCCTTCTGTCATGCAATGAGAATACATCATCTGCTTCAAATGCAATTTGTTCGTCAAGCTTTTAGCCATGCACAATTAATCCAAATTTAATTACAACGCAGCTATCGTTTTCACCTTCTAAACGTCCTAAAGAATGTTATTAAAGAGATGAAAATGAATCTGTGAAAGTACATTCCGATGCTTCCGTTGTTTCTCCTCCGTCGTCCAAGTTGTGGTCATTTTGTCAAATCCCAACAATGTATCATCAAAATCCATCTATGCGAGTATAGTTTGCATCTTCACTTGTCACAACGAGAATCTTGTATTGTAGTCTAAGAACGGAATTTCATTATTCATGGCTATCATCAATAACAAAAACCTCGAACAAATCACAACCAACGCTGATACCACTTGTTGGAAAATAAAACGGATCGAAATAATATATATGACACTATATAAAGTACATTATTGCAAACAAACAACAAGATAAAAGACAAATAATTAATTGGTAGATGAACGAAATATTTTATTCAATTGACTAATATGGAGAAAACAAATACAATAACTATGTTTTTTACTTTTTAAAAGTTCTACCAAAACTGACTCAAATCTTGACAATTCACATATATCCTTTCAAAGGATGGTCTGTTTCCTTTAAATTACTACACTCAAAATGTACATTATCCTTTACAAGTCAATGACTATACATCAATAGTTGAACAAAAGGCATATAGAACTTGTGTACAGGAAAGAATGGTAAGAAAAACAACTGAAATAAGATATATCTCTGAACCGCACCTTATTTAAATGGCCGTAAAAAAATAATCAAAACGTGCATTATTCAGTAACAGAGGTGTCTCCTTTCAATATGAGTTTCCCCGGTTCATCCCTCTTGAAAAGCTTCTCAACTACTTCGTTCCAATTAGTTCTAGCATTTTTACTTGACGATTTTTTAGTTTCCTCGGAATTCTCTGTTTCATTCTTACAAGGTTTGATATGCTTGCCCCCTGAAGATGACCCTTCAATGCTGCCTGAGGATTCTTCTCCAGTAGTTGTAACAGCATTAGGAATATTCAGACTCACAGCCCTCTCTAAAGCATCCTTGTGTTCTTTCTCAATTGTCTGCTTCCTGTCAAATTTTTGGACTTTAGGCGGTGCCATGGTGGTTTCTGTACTGTGGTCTTTCAGTTTCTGCATCACAATAAATATATTTGCATAAACATGTTAAAGCCATTTAAGAACTGTTGTTCAAACAATCTAAAATCCAGATCTGATGACAAATGCTGGGAAGTTTTTGAGTCTTATAAAGGCTAGAGATTTTGTCAGCATCTCGACAAAATTAGATATATCACAGGAGTCAGGATTAGTACATGGGTCATGTAATCCCAATGCTGGTATGTCAACCAGTTTCCATAGAACCTCAGATAGTGAAATTTCTATGGCATTCTATGGAAAGCCAGTTATGTAGGCTGAAAGTCAGCAGACACTAAAGACTTCATGATTGGAGGACATGCATATTACACCACTACTTAAATCTGAAAGCTAATTATATAGCATCTGCTGTAAAATTAAAAAATATCGCATGAAGTGCTCCAATTTTTAACCTTATTGACATGACAAGTTTCATCAAATTGAAGTTAAAAAGTACAGTTCCAAACTGATTTCATGCAGCATCAGTTCGACATGGGTTGCCATATATACAACTAAAGTTATTGAAATATTTTTCTTCAGGAATTTATGGAAAAAAAAAATTAAAAAATCATCAGTGTACTCCTTTTCAGAAAGCAACATTAATAGAAAGAAGACCTTTGTTGCCATTTTTTCTAGGATAATGAAGAACCAAGAAAAGAAATGATAGAAATCCAATTAGATTATTATATGATTATGTCCCATGTTTAGATTCTTATTTTGGGAAAGTTATTACGATTTATTTACTAGTTTTCATAGGGTGATCTTATTATGGATATTTACTAGATTATTTAGGATTTGATTAGATGTTTCCCGTTTAGAAAATGTTTTTGAAACCCTGTATAAAAGGGACTTATGTATTGTAATAGATACAACTTTGATAATGAAATAAATTGATATTCCCTTCCTCAATATCTTCTTGTCTGTTTCCCTTTTCCCTTTTCTCCCTCTTCTTCCTCTCTCCTAAATTTTGCTTCCGTCTATCTAATTCTTCTTCCCTTTCTATCTCCCCCTCTTTTTCTATTTTCCCCCTCCTCTCTTCTCTTCTCTCTTCCCTGCCCCATTTCCTATAATTCTACTATTTGATTCTATTGCATCCTATGTCAAGTACTGCCTGTAAACTAGATAGTGCTTGATTATAGAAGTAATATCATGTTTGTGCTGGATAGTAGCCGAAAATAGAATGAAGAATGTCAAAGAATTAAGAGGAAAAAGGGGAGCAGACTGAAGCTGGTTTTTACTTACTTCTAAGGCATGTTCTGCCTCTCGTTCTATCCAAATAATAGCATGATCAGACGTAGCATTGCATGACAAGACAATATGTTCAAATCTTCCATCAACAGGGATGGCTGTTCTAACCTCTGGAGGATACCTTCCACATCTGTCAGTTCCAAACAGTGAACAGAAATTCAGAGAAATGGCCAATATGTTTTTCTTTTGTTGGTGCAAGTATAAAAAATGTTGGGCCTTGCTAAGTTTACACCGGGTGACCCACTCAAAAGAGGGGGGCCCACGATTTTTTTATTGGTCATGGGCCCCCTCTTGTGAGGGGGTCTGTACACCAGGGAGTCAAACCTAGTGTACAAATAGCTTTTCCCAAAAATGTTTTGAGCATCACACCGTCATTCCTCTATCAAAATAGACAAACATAAATCAAAATGAAAATAATTGCCTGATATGACAGATGTTGGAAATGGTTGGTTACTGAGTTTTTTCTCAATCATTGGAGGAAATAAGGTTCTCCGCAAGTACACAAATAAAAATAAAAAACAGTTGAGAATTGGAATATTTGCCAACCTAAGGCTGGCAATGGTACAATATACTCGGTAAACATTTGTGTGTACACCTTCTCAAGTACATGTTCAACTTCACTTTACAACGACTCTATTGGTTGGCGAGAAACACTTTTCACAAAATCAAGCATGACATAAAAGCTGCTCTACTAAGTTATACAGCAATCTAGTGTAAGCTACTCAAGAAAATTTTGACCAATTGCAAAACAAAATTGTAGTGAAACAAAAGTTACCCAAAGCTCTCACAGTTGGAACTTGACAAGCAAGTATTTGTCAAGTTTCTGTGGATGACTTCTATAATTTTGCAGACTAATAAATATATAAGTTCACGAAAATAGGAAAGGAAAACTGGGCAAAGAGAAAGGTGACGTTCCCAAGGAACACATACAGTGTGACAAAGTGAATTTATTCAGTGGAATCAATCTAAAACTGAAGAGAGGCTTATAGTGCCCAAATAGATATGGAAGTTAACTTTCCCCTTTCTTTATTTTTAATTGTTATGATGGCGTAATTTTTGGGAAAGTTGATTTTTGATGCATAGAAAATGCTTACTTTCCCCCTTGGAAATGCTTTAAAATACTTCGGGAGCTGCATAGTATACGATGGTTGCAATACAGTACTTCATACAACTTTCAGATAATTAATTGAGATCTTATCACACTTTTGTCCAGCATTAAGATTAAGTAATGCAGTAGCAATTAGAAATGTATGGCCAACGAGTCTAAATGGATTGACAACCTATAGGGTATATTTTGATACTTACAGAAGATTCTTTTATACAACGTGGTTGCGACAAGTTTGGGGAATTCCTTTTCTGTTGATAACACATTTTACTACACAGTAATGTTCTTGACAATATGATAGGGATATGCATAGGGCATCAAATTCTGATACTGAACGAGTTACCAAAGCTCACAATGATACTTCATTGTGATCAAAATCAATTATCTTGTGTTTGATAAACCAACAAACCATGATTACTTCTTACATCACTTGGATAAAAAGCACAAAAATAATGATTTCACTTTAATTTGATGCAATTTTACCTACAAAATCTTCTTTCCACAATGTGATAAATTCGACCAGGTGCATACAATCTTCTTGGATCTCTAAGCTTTCTACCTTCTGGTATAAAGGTATCCCTCAGGCACACGAGAAACAGTAAGCACGGCAAACTGTCCAAAACATGAAGGCATGGTTTAAAAATGACAATAGCAATTCACTCCTTTTAAAGGCAATAAATACACAAGATTGTGAGCCTCCAAGTATTATTAGATGTTACTACTAACCAGAAGACAGATTCGAATATATCTTCCAATGGAGTGGGTGTTCTTGGTAAGAAATCATCCTGGACAGTTTCAATCATGGTGGTATTACTTTATGATAGTACTTGCATAATAATCAATTGAAATTAAATATCAAATTATTAAGTCGATATTATAAAGTTTTATTTACTACTTAAAGCTGGCATTTCACTTGATTCAGAATCAGACTTCTAATTAGCAATAGCAGATATAAGCAAAAAGTTTAAGTCTTAGTACATATTTTAAGAGATAGTACTACATGAAATAGTGGCATTATATAAAAGGACATTTTCATGGTTTACATTTTTCACGTGTCAATAGTGTAAAAAATTAAACCTTGTCGTATGGGCTGTTATACTGTTCAGAAATACAACATTCTCACCTAAATTACGGAAGCCAACTCTACAGGCACATCCAATTTTAACATGATTTGACGTGCTATTATAATCACAAATTATATTCATTGCAATTAAATTAGCTTTTCCAAATCAGTCTTTATATTTTGCTCAAGTTCTGCCCTTTCTCTCTTTCTTCATATCGGTCTTTCTTTCTTCCCATTGACATATTTCATGTAAACAATATCTGAAATATTACAACAGAACCAAAATCTAATAAAAGTATTCTGTCAGAATTCCTTGGAGTAAATAAACATGCAAAATTCAGAACGAAACCAAACTCAAACCTTCTTTGTCTTGAACTTTCTCTTTTGCCTCTCATCATCCAAGAGGTGACCATGGAAACAACGGCTGCAACCAACAAAACCTCCAGATCTCTTTTTCTTTTCTTTTTTTCTAATAGCCAAAAACCTATAAATCTACATACTAAACCCTATTCCTCATGTTCCTTTAAGAAATCCTTTCTAAATAACGTGGCAGTAAGGTTATTGTTAAGAAATATATGATTATTTTGTTAACATTATTTATTAAGGGTAGAATAGTCTTTTAAGTTTTCTTTATTTTAGACTATATATAGTCTCTTTGTATCTAGATTTTATTCATTCAATTACATTATGCAGAATCAATAAAACCCTAGCCTCTTTTTCATCTTCTCTTTGGATTGTTTAACAGTTATATTATGTTCCTATCAAGCAGCCTTCTTCAGAAGAATGCAGAAGCTTTATTCTGAGTTTGCATTGATTGAAAATTTTTCACACCTAGTTCACTATTTTGGTTTTAAAGGAAATTTTTCTACAGGATTGATTATAGCATAACCTTATTATTTTCAAGAACACGAAGTCTACATAGGTGTTGACAAAACCTTTATGGTCCATTTTCTGTAGGATTAATTAAATTACTATTTTCAAGAAGCACACTAAGTAGGTTGTCAAAACCTTTATGGTTCATCCATGACAGTCCTATGAGAGTTTTGAAGTGGACTCATGATTTCAACTGGCAGTTGGATTTCTGGCCAATGGCCATTGTTTCCCTTCATTTTTTTTATTTTTTTTTTTCTGAAAAAAACTGCAGTTTCTCCATTGCTAGAGGCTGTAGGATTCCTTCGAGAACAGGTGAAGCATCAGCCTACAAATAGAGACCTAGAGTAGCTAAAACTGATTCAAAGAAACCTAGGGTTTTCAAGGATAAGAAGTAATGATATTTTTGGACAACCTGTTATTATGAAATATTTGCCCAAATACTGTCTGTAATGTTTATGACTTTACATCTGGGTAATAACAGTGAATGATTTGAATCAGAAAGCAATGCACAGACAGATCTTGTTTCTCAAAAATTTAAACTAGGAAGGAAGGTAATTGAATTTCACAATTAAGGACTGAAACGGAAAAAATTAAATATTAAAGAGGAAGAAGGGGCTGAAATCTTGCGTATAGGAGGGAGCATCTTGGTAATGCTTTTAAGTGTTTATAAGATGTTGGATCTACAAAATGTGTAGATAATAAGTGGATAGTAAGTTGTGGTTCCTACAAAATGTGTGGATAAAAAATGTTTGACCGGCTTAAAAAAGTTAATCTCTGCAAAACATGTGGTAAACACGACCTTCTTTAGGTTTGCAAGACATGACCTAACCACATCAGACTAATAAGTGGAGTTGCCACTGGTTCAGGATAAACAAAAGGGTAGACCACTTCGATGGTTAGGGCATGTCATGCTTATAACTAAAAAACAACATTGATGCAAAATTCAACTGAATAAATGATGAAAGCAAAGAATGAAAACATCACTCCTACTGGTTGCGGCACCTTTTCGTATTCAATTGATTACCTTCATAATGGCTCAGTGATCACGTCCCACCTTTCGGCCATTGACTGGATCTTAAAGGCGTCTTACATAGATGCTAATTCTGATCACACAATAAGTTATGAACTACTACCTAATTTGGGAAACTGGCTAATAACCCAAACTATACGGAGTTTCAGGTATAAACATGCTTGAGAGTTAATTCCATTAAAGCAGTGTAAGGCCGCCGCAACAAATCAATTATACAGAATCTTTTATCACCTAATTGTGAACTATGATCAAATTTTACTGAAAATTTTTATTTTCAATTTCTTTTTCAATTGCAGTGGCCAATGGAATCTTCCCTTGTGCTATTAGAACTATTTATCTAGAGCACTTTGATCGAGATCCTATATTTATCCAGCTAAAGCAAAACTATAATCATATCAATATCCATATCAAACATTTACCTCTCTACAATCCAATTATCGAGTAAGTATGGTTCCTATATTTGAAAATCCCTCACCTGCAACGTGACTGAGGATATAACACCGGCATACTTAACGGCCAAGTTGAGCGACATACAGCGTGCTGGTGCCACAGCATAACACTTCACCAAACTTCGCGGAATCCCCCCAAGTTTATCCCCATGATTCACCACAATCACACTCAAAAGTGCAGCGACCCCAGACCCCAATGAATGCCCCGCAAAAACCATCTTATACTCTTTCCCATTCTCCTCCCATAGCCTCTTCAAGGTCTCTGATTCATTTTCCAAAACCCACATAGCCGATTGCAACAACCCATAATGCACATACCCTCCATCAAACATTTGCATACCCAGACGATTATTCATTAACAACTTATAATCACTTTCTTTCGCTAAGTTCAACCCCCGGATGGCTAGTACTATTTCACGATTGTCATGGTCAAGGTAAATTATATAAGGCGGCGCGTGGCCGAGCGTTTTCTCGTAGGTGACACGCTTGACGACCCAGTCGGGGTTTAGGCAGAAGCCTTCGGCGGGGGAATACTTGGAGGAAACGAGGTCGGGCTTGTACACGGCCAAGATGAGGCGGCAGACACGAGGGATGGGCTCGAACTCCTCGTGCGTAGCAGTGGGCCAGGTGGCACTGTCATCGCCTCCAACATAGGTGCAGCGCTTCCACGCCCACCTAACGCAACCAAAAATCACCACGCATTCTACCCCACAAGAAACCGACATTCAATTAACTCGTTAACACTATTGCTTCAAGAGCCGATGAATTCAAAGTTTCTTGAGTGTGTGCGTGTATAGAGGTATAATTTATGAGAATTGTCACATGGGATAGAGAGGAAGTCGGAAGATTCACATGGTGGGGTACAAATACTTGAAAAAACTTGCTGTTTGTGGGTGAATTACCAATTCGTATGCATTGATGGGTCAGGAATAAAGAACATGCGCCTGATGTGTTCGATGAATTGACTAGCTGGTAATGAGTAGACTATTACATGTGATGCGTGTGTATATTTATCCATTTATTTTTGCTGTTGATAGTCGTATCCGTGAATAAACCAAATGGCAAAGGCATTGTCCTCAGTTTCCACAGCTGCCCATTGGAGACTACTTTTCTTACCAATAAAACCATTTGCACAGAAATGGTATAGTCAGAAAGCCAACAGAATGCTCACAATGCGGGGCGGGAAATCATATTTGTACATCAGAGGTAGACAATCTCTTACATGCGTGTAGGGTCTGCATGTTTAAAAAATTCAAAAAATAAAAAGTGAACCCTCATGTGAAAGGTTGTCAACCTTTTATGTACAAATAGCATGGCTCATGCGGGGTCCACCTTGTTTTTTTAACACCTTGTATTTTCTTTAAAAAAATACACGGACCCCACCATGTGTGTTTTCCTTTGGTCTTTTGTGACTTTTGCTTCTATACACAAAGCAAGATTATTTTCTTACCTCTATTTTTCCTACTTCCCTAATTTATTTTATAGGAAACTTTGGGGATATATTACAATTTTATTATAGTATAAATGTTTGATGATATAATTTTGTTGTCATTGTGTTTGAACATGAACACAGGGACGGACCCCGGGGGTCATGTGCCCTCCCCCAATTTTCGGAATTTTTTTTTTATAAAGCCATATTTTGTATAGATTGAAATCTAAATTAAAATTAACAATTAATTTCATGGAATCCATAACTATTTAACTTTTATCAAAATTTACTAAAAAATTGATTTTAATCTCCACAAAATAATGGCAAAATCACAATAAATTTGAATTTCTATAACATAATTTTCTCTAATTATCTGCTATTTTTTATTAGCGTACATAATACTGTTTTTATTATTATCTAGATATTGATGGAAGTATGATACAATGATCGAAATATTGTTTACGAAGTAAAGAACACGAAAATAAATATTGAATTATACATTTTGGATGCTTTTTCATATGTCAGTCAATTCATTTTTAAAACACAGGTCTAACACATAAAATTATCAAATTAGTCGGGTTTGAACAATGAATTCAAAATCTTTGTTTACTATGAATTGTTAGAAATGAGGAAATTTTCTATTATACTAGTTTTGGTCCATGCGATGAGTCATTGTGTTTGAACATGAACACAAGGACGGACCCCGGGGGTCATGTGTCCTCCCCCAATTTTCGGAATTTTTTTTTTTATAAAGTCATATTTTGTATAGATTGAAATCTAAATTAAAATTAACAATTAATTTCATGGAATCCATAACTATTTAACTTTTATCAAAATTTACTAAAAAATTGATTTTAATCTCCACAAAATAAGGGCAAAATCACAATAACTTTGAATTTCTATAACATGCTAATTTTAAAAATTTTCTGACAATAGTACGCTAATCGAATTTACAAATTTCTTATGTTATCTCAAAACTTATTTCGAGAACTACATTATGGGCATATCGAATAGTCCAAACAGATATCGAAAATAGTTAAAAATATGTTAAACGTTAATTTTAAAGAAAGATTTCTAACTCGTATTTTTCTAAAAAAATTCAATTATTTCATTAACATTTATTATGATATTAAAAAATTTCGAATTTTTACATTCGAAAAAATTATATCCCATATAAATTTTCGGATACAAAATTAAATGGGATATATTTTTTTGGATGTAAATTTTCGATTGTGAAATTTCTCTCAACTTCTTTTCAAGTTTGATTGTGCCCCCAACTTTAAATTTTTGCGTTCGCCCTTGCATGAACATGTTGGATATTTTTGAAATTTGTAAAGAGGGAACCATTTTCTAAAAGTATTTGAATTATTAGAGACAATTTACATGGTCGGTCACCATCGGCCAATCACTATTTAGAATTGACATTGCTTGTGTTGAATCGAATAAAAATGCATCCAAAACCTTAAGCAGTTCATTCAGAGGGTGTTTGATAGAGATTAAAATTAGATTTCTAGTAGATTGTGATAGAAGCTTTTGAAATGTGTGGTTGAAAAATTGTGAGACCTATGAAGGATGCGATTAATATTAATTGTTTGATTTTGACTTATATTAAAATCAGATTTTAATATTGTTTACGAAGTAAAGAATGCGAAAATAAATATTGAATTATACATTTTGGATGCTTTTTCATATGTCAGTCAATTCATTTTTAAAACAAAGGTCTAAGTGTCTAACACATAAAATTATCAAATTAGTCGGGTTTGAAAAATGAATTCAAAATCTTTGTTTACTATGAATTGTTAGAAATGAGGAAATTTTCTATTATATTTATATCATCAATACCCATTCTCTTGTGCAAACTAGATTTTTATCAAGGGATTGGCATAATCTTATTTTTCAATGAGTGATGACAAAATCTGAACTCGAGACTTGATCTAATATCTTACTAATCAACGTCTTCTAAACAATTAAGTGAATCTTTTGCTTTGCTACTCTTTTAACTTACTGCATATCATCCAACTCCAATTCTTAATTTGTGTATCAGAGTATATATATATATATATATATGCCTTCATTCTCCTTTCGGGGCCTATCCGAAAGAGAATCCAGTATTTCTTGATCGTGAATATGACACTATAGGCTCAATTCACTAAACGAGTCGGGCTCAAGTCGAGCCTGGATTGACTCATTAACCAAGGGGCCAAGCCCCTCTCAGCTCTTAACGAGCTGAATCGGGTAGGGTCGGGTCAGTGAATTTTTCAATTTTCATTTTTTTTTATAGAAATTATAAAAAGAAATATTATATATAGGATAAACAACCATCTCCTTATTCCGAGCTTGGGAACTACTATGTTAAAAAAACGTACGAGTCAATTACATTTTCTGCTTATCTGAGTTTCAGATATGGATTGTTGTTTGTTATTTTGATCAGTTTGTAATTAATGAATAGTCAACCTTCGATAACAGTAGAAGATGGACTACAAGTAGAATGATAAATTGTTGAAATCTACAAACGAAGTCCTACATCGGCTAGACATGGGATGATCTTCGATTTATAATGGACTTTAGGTACTCAGAGTGAGTTCATGTTTTGATATGGATTTCCAAATCTCTACAAGAGGCATCAAAGCATGCTCCAAACGTCTCCATGTGAACACACAACATGTATCTCTAGTTACTGTCCGACGAAGGTGGTGATCCTAACTTGAATCACAAGGGCCGAAAAAATGTGTTTTTGGCTCTCAAAGTGGTCGTGCCCACATAATTGGGTGGCCACTGACATAATGGAAGAGTTGAAAACTTGAACTTTAGCATGTGATACTTCTTGGATTGAGGAAGAGGACGACTAGATTATTGCATGAAGGAGATGGAGACGATGTGGTACTTGCCCACATGGACGTGTATTATTACACTTCTAATCTAACTACACCATAATCATGATCCCAAGGAAGAAGCCCTACTGAAGTCCTTGCCAAGAGATTCAGATCTTGGCTTCTTTCAATTTCAAAATAGCAACAACATTATTGGTCACCTTGACAAATGAAGATAACATGGAGGGACCAAATATGTTAGAGAAGACAATCAAAGAAAGATACCCCTTTTATAGGGCAAAGTGAGGGACCTAGATATGATTTAAAAATAAAAAATGCACCCCACCCGCAAAGAAATAGCACCATTTTATCTTTTTCTTTTTTTGAAGGGGTGGAACACAAGGATTACTACTTTCGCTCAAGCACGCAAAACTTCGGAGTTCAAATAAAATCTTATGCATAAAATTAACATTTATTATAGAGTTAGACAATAACAAAGAATGAACTTATCATCTCCAAATGATGTTACATTTAATTGGACATGACACTTGTTTTTAGTCGAAGATATGAGGCAAAGAATCGCAAAGGAATTGAAAGTGATAAATGCATTATTTATCCTCAATCGAAGAACATCAAGAATGAAGAGATGAATAAACCACTGGTTAAAGTACCTAACAGAGAATGGAGCACTTGAGGAATGTAATTTTTCTTCTAAGGTGTTGGCGAAGCAGAAACAACATTGACAATGTCACCACTCGGATCATGTAAGCTCGAACGATAAATCTCCTCAATTTTGCTAGTTACCTCAGCCATTGAAGGGCGTTTATCTGGGTACTGAGCAGCGCAGTCAACTGCAAGTTGCAAGAGCCGTACCATATTCTCCTCGATGTTTTGATACCGAAGGAGTTCAAGGTCGAACACTTCGGCCGTACACTCGTCTTTGACAACAGATTCGACCCATCTCGGGAGGTTGGGCCCCTCCTCGTGAATCGGAGCCTTGCCGGTCAGCAATTCCAATATCAATACACCGAAACTGTATACGTCTGCTTTCTGAGAAACTTTGCAAGGATCTGTTACTTCTGGTGCCCGATATCCAGGAACACGGTTGGGAGTTGAGTTCGGTCCAGCTAGTTGAGCGAGGCCAAAGTCAGAAACACGGGCTTCATATGATCTAGTGAGGAGAATATTTGATGACTTAATGCTTCCATGGGAAATTTTTGGGCCTTGAGAGTGAAGAAATGAAACTCCTTGGGCAGCCCCGAGTGCAATTGCAACTCTTGTCTCCCAATTTAAGGGTGTCCGACCAGCTCCTTTGTTTCCTGTAATGTCGAATAACAAAGAACTTAACGAACTTTCAGAAAGCTGTTAATTTACCTTTAGGATTCAAGATTCGCAAATTAATGCCCTATTCGAGGAATCGAAATGATTTTCAAACAAACAGCCTTCTGCAAATATTCCGGAAATTAGAATAACTCAGATTGTAACGAAAATAACATAAAGACTTCCCGATATGACGGATTCTAAGTTGTATTTAATAAATGAAAAATGCTTGATTACTCAATTTTCACCAATGTAAGACGAAAGCTTACTGTCTCTGTTCACCAGATACTTCAAATATAAGACAGCTACAAAGAAGCAGACAAATGAATAAATTTAGCCATGGGAAACAATCTCAATATTCTATTCAACTGCTTCAACCAATTCTAATGTGTTTGACTGCCTAATTTCGTATATACATTGTAATTAACAATCATCTTTGGCATGTACATTTCAATCGGTAATATCAACAATCATTCGAATCACACTTGCAATTTCATAATACACTTCGATAAAAACTAGATCTAGTGGCATTCCCGGGTTTTTTCAGAGTCTAAGAACATCTAAAACGGCCCATAATGAGCACTGAGCTACATTGCTCGAAGTTATAGGATACACAAACAATACCACCATCATCAGCATAACGAAATAAAATCAATCTAATGTCAAAATACCATGCAGGCAAATCAAAGAGGAATCGGAACAAATGAAGTGCAGTCTCACCATGTAATAGTGTAGATAAGCTCCCCATCGGCACGTAATCATAAACGAGAAGCTGTTCGTCCCTATTATAGTAATAAGCCCTTAAAGGCACTAAATTCTCATGATTTAATTTCCCAATCTCCTCCATTTTCTCCCTGAATTCCTTCTCCCCCATGTTCACATCCCTCAGCCTCTTCACTGCCACTGTCAAACCCGTCTCTAGCACTGCCTTGTAGGCAGTCCCAAACGTTCCCTTCCCCAAAACCTCGGCTGACGCCCTCAACAAATCCTCCAAATCGAAATTCCATCCTATATTCCCAAAAAACACCAACCCCCTCTTCCCAGCATTGATCACGTTGACTTCTCCCTTCTCCTTCACCCTAGCCCTCGTGCTATCCTTTCCTCGACTCTCTATTGTTCTCTCCATTGAAACTTCAACTTCTTTCTCCTTAGAAGCGCCCTCCTCCTTTTGTCCAACTCCTTTCGTACCCGATTTCCGACGCAAACAGAACACAAGCAATAAGATCAAGACCAAACCGAGCACAGAACCAACTACAATTCCCGCAATTGCAGCACCGGAGAGTTTCCGTTTGTGCTTTTCACTATCACAAGAATTGTCAAGTGGATCACCACAGAGTGAATTCCCAAGAAATGAACTCTTGGGCTTCCTCGAAAGGCTTTTCGGAATTTTACCAGTTAGATTATTATACGAAACATTGAACTGAACTAAACTAGGCAAGTCGACGTCTGGTATTGAACCAGAGAAATGATTTTCCTGCAAATAAAGTGTACCTAAACGCGTCAAATTGTTAAAACCAGACGAAATCGGACCAGAAAAATTATTTTCTGCCAAATTTACGCGAACAAGGGACTTAATGGAGAATAGAGAATCTGGGATTTCCCCACTAAAGAAATTTTGATGGAGATAAAGGCTGCGGAGCAACAAAAGTGACGAAAAAAGGTCCGTCGGGAGTGGGCCAGAAAGTGCATTATAACGGAGGCTGAGCGTCTGGAGATTAGTGAGATTTGATATGGTGTTTGCCGGGAGTGTGCCGGAGAGGCCCATTCCGGGAAGGCGAAGCTCCATAACTGAAGAATTGTCAGGGGAGCAAGTGATGCCAGCCCATGAGCATGGGGTCGGGCTGGAGAGGTTCCAGAGGAGGACGCGGCCGCCCACGGCAGCACGAAGAGCTAACAGAGCGTCGCGGTCGGAGGCAATGTCGGGGGTGCTAGGGCGTATGAGGAAGAGGAGAAGGAGAATGGCCGTGTGGAGGAGGAGGTGGTGGTGGTGGCTGAATTGCCTCATATTGAGATTTTGGGATTGTACGAGGAGATTAAGGAGAGAGTTTCATATGGTTCTTGTAATTCTTGTCTGAACCTCAAAACTCTCTAATGGCTGTTTCATATGTAGAGAGAGACGAAAACTGTGTGTGTGTGAGAGAGAGAGAGAGAGGGTGGGGTGGGGTGGGGGTAAAGGTTCTGAATTGTGATTGGATACTATTGGGATCATCGTATCGTATCTTATATTTTATTGTATTATATATTCATAATTTCGTTAAGCAAAATTAGAGTAGAGCTCCCGAACGTTTTACATGGTATAATTACGGCCCTTATTTTAAAAAGGTTCTAGATTTTTAACTTATTTTAAATTTGTGAATTTAGGTTTCCACTTTACTTAAATTGTCAATATAAATATTAAAATTGCGATAAAATACGTTCACACAATAATTTTTTATAAGTGAACTGTATTTTGATAGCATAAACTTTTGTCTTATTTATGTTATAAATTTTTTTTAGTCACATTCTTATCTTCAACTTTTTATTAATCTGCATATCTATTTCTGTTCAAAAAATTACATGAAAGGAAGAAAAAATATGTATTCATCGTATTTTTAAATAATAGAAAGTATCAAATATTGTACACCATTTTAAAGCGCCTTAAATGTGGTGCCAATACAACCACCCTAGAATTTAACGGTTCCATCCTTTTACTTCAAATCATGTGAAAGTCACATGTCAATACAACATTCACGTGGTTCGTTTCGGTTACATAGGGACCCAGATTCAAGAATTTAAATAGGTTGAGGACCATATTCTCGTTGTTCAAATTTGTTGAACTAAAATATTACCACGTCATAGGTTAGGGAGTCCAACTATAATTTTCTCT